TTTTTTTTTTTTTTTTTTTTTTTTTTTTTTTTGGTACCGGGGATCGAACTCAGGTCCTTGCACTTGCAAGGCAGGTGGTGGAACCACTGAGCTAAATCCCAGGCCCTACCATGCCCAGTTCTTGAACACCTTTTGTCAGTTTGTTTGTTTGTTTGTTCATTCATTCATTCGAGACAGGGTCTCAACATGTAATTCAGGCTGCTCTTGAATTCACTGTGTAACCCAGGCGTGCTTCCAACTTGCAAGAATCCCTTTGCCTCAGCCTTTGTCAGTCTATTCTTAAGTACTCCCCCACCCACCCCGTACTGCGGATGGAACCCAGGGCCTCTGCGCTGAGATACATCCTCAGGGCTTTTTATTTTTTTTACTTTGAGATAGGGTTTTGCTAGGTTGTCCAGGCTGGGCTCAAATTTGAGGTCCTCCTGCCTCAGCCTCCCAGAGTGAGGGGATTGCAGGTATGTGCCACCGAGCCTGGCTAAATCTGAAGAGCTTTTGAGCCCGGGGCCCTCCAGCTGTGATCTGCTTGCTCCCTCAGCACAGATCTGTGAGGAGTGCAGGGCAAACTTCGGAGTCAGCCACATCACAATCCACCGCAACAGATCATACATTCCCTGATGTCCCAGGAGGCCCTCGGACATGGCCCCGTCACTCTGGTCCCGTCTCTGTCATCACACGGCTGTGACCCTGTGTCTCTCTCCAGAGGACACCAGGGCCACCTACTCAGACTTCATGGAGCCAACTACAACTGCAGAGACCCCGTTTCCAGGCAGGGCCACAGGAACAGGGTCTGGGTGCACCTGAGCTTTGGGGACACGACTGATACCAGCAAGGCTTCCACCCCTAGGGCAGTGGATCCAGAGTCTCCCATCTCCAGAGCTGTTTTCCCACAGCCATCGAAGGCTTCTTGCCCCTGGCATCACCTCTCAGAACAACTCAACTGACCCCAGAGTGTGCGTACTCCTGTCACCACCTGTGGTCGGATGACATTCAGCCAGGGGAGCCTCATGGGGATGGGGGTGGGGGGAATCCGCAACTCCAGAACCCAGCCCGGCTCACCGGGCACAAAGAGTCTGGCCACTAACTGATCTTTGCCCCGATAGGGACAGGGGACCCATCAGAAAGACCCTGGGTGAGGTGGCACACGCCTGTAATACCAGCACTCAGGAGGCTGAGGCAGGAGGATCGCAGCCATTTCATGGCCAGCCTAGGCTACATCGTGAGTTCAGGGTCAGCCTGAACTACAAAGTTAGACCCTGCCTCAAAAAAGAAGAAAGAAGGAAGGACCTGGGGACCCTCTGTGGGACCCCCCCCAGTGATAGCAGTTACCATACGGGCACCCACACCCTGCTATCCCCCCGGCTGTGAGCCCTACACAGGTGCATCCCAAGCCATGGGCGCCTACCTGGCATGGGAATACGGTGACACACCAGAGGGACTACTGGCCTCAGGCTGGACGTGGCTTTCACTGTCTCTTGGAGGCCAAGTCACATCCTGAGGACATGCAGCCCATGTCCTGCGGTCCCCGTCTCCTGGGAGCAAGCAGACCCCCTCTCAGTGAGTTCACTGCCCCCGAGGAACACCAAGGACCAGGCAAGGTGGTGGCCGGGACCTGAGGGTGAGTGAGGACCAAAAGAGAGTCTCAGCCGTCACCCCCTGAGCCAAGGACAGGGAGGCGACAAGGTGGCCCTCAGCAGGGGAGAGGTGATCGGTGAGGCTGGAGTTGGGGGTCCAGGCTGTGTACAGGGAGACCCAGGGCGAACAGCCAACAGGCAGAGGGATATGGGTGGCTGGTGAAGGTCCCCAGAGGGCAGACAGTGTCCCCCTCCATCTGAAGCAAAGAAATGGGCACTGGGCTCACAGGGAGACAGGGAGACATCTCACCCCACCCGGGCAGGAAGTAAAAGCTGGAGGTCAGCAGGGGCAGGGACCAGGATGGTCCCAAGGGAGGATGGACACCTGTGTCTACTGGTCACCATGGAGCCTGAGGTCAGGGGCCAGGCCTCCATCCAGTGGACAGGGCAGGGTTCCCGGAGAGTCCTGCGCAAGAGCCCCAGCCTCGCTGTGACCCTGCCAGCCATAGCCCCACCCCCAAACTCACCTCTGAGGGACCCTCAGGGATCCTTGGCCTCTCCTGCTGCCGAGGGGAACCCCACGGGGCCTGGACACCCGATTCCCTCATTGCTTGGGACCCCTCTCCAGCAGGCCAGGCTGGACAGGGAGAAGACGAGGAGAGGTCACAGCAGGACTGCGGAGGCTGTCACCAGCCCAAGTATGCACAACCGCAGCCCCTGCCCAGGCCCAGTGGGTATGGGTGGCCCTCTCAGGCCTGAGTCAGCTACCGGAGCCCAAACCTGCCCCATGGGTGTCACAGTGGGCAGGTGGAGTCCGAGTACCTCAGCTGTGACCTCAGTCCCTATGCCAGCCCTCCCGCCAGGCCCTCAGGCCACAAAGCAGAGGTGAAGAAGGAACACGGAGACCCCATGGGCTGGAAGAGTCCCCTGCCTGTGGTGGGCGCCTGCGGGGTGTGGGGTAGCCACAGCCATACCGACCATGGATGCGTCCTCTCAGCCCGATCTCTGCCTTGCCCCCACCCTCCATGGTCACCCTGGCTGGACCCAAAACTGAGAAGGGCGAGGGGCGAGGAGGCCCTTGGCTGCCCAGCCAGGAAGCCTTGGGACACTCCCTGCACAGGAGCCAGGATGCAGGTCGGGGGCTGGACCCTCATGGGAAGGAGGCTTCCTGCCACCGCAAGCACTTCCCCGAGCGGGTGGGATGTGCCGGGAAGGCGGTGGTGCCGGGCACAGGAAGCCCAGGAAAGGCGCCCAGGTGGGCGGAAAGGGCCAGGGCAGGGACGAGGGCACCAGGGTCCCAGCTCCTCGTGGTCTCCTTGGCCCACCAAGTCCACCAAGCCTCATACCTGTGCTAGGATCCCAGGTGTGTGCCACCACCCCCAGGGACATGTCTCTTCTGTTTTTCTGCCCCCCCCACCTCTCTAAGTCTCCGTCTCTCTGTCTTTATCTCCTTCTATATCTTCTGGTCTGTCTCTGTGTCTCTCTCTGTCCCCCTCCCCGATGCCAGCCCTGTGCCCTGCCCGGAGCTCCCAGTGGGCCCTGCCCACCTGTGCTCCCCTGCTCACCTCACACGTGAGTACACCTGTGTGAGCGCATCTGTGCGCGTCTGTGTCTGTGTCTGTGTCTTTGTCTGTCTGTATATAACTCTGTCTTCATCCACGTGTCTGTCCCTTGCTGTCACACAGGCAGGTCTGGGCCGAGCGCCATGTCCGTCGGAACAGGGCAGAGCGGGGACAGGCCTATGGTGGCCTCAGCCTTCCTGGCGCCCACTGACCCCTCCCCGCCTGGCCTGTGGTGCGGGCCTTGGGGGCAGCAGGAAGCAGGGTCAGGGGCTGGAAAGCAGCCATTCTCCAGCCTGCCGCCCGGGTTAAGGGCCCAGCTTCCCTGGGAGGGCCTACTACTTGGAGCTGCCTTCCTGTGCGGCCTTCCGGCATCGGGCCTGGAGCAGGGGAGGGGACCGCAGGAGCCACGGCCCAAGTCACGCAGAGCCCACCCACGGGCCGCTCCCTCTGGGCCTCAGTTTCTCCCTTCAACTCCCAGCGTCCCTCAGGCCTCAATTTCTGCCTCTGACAAAGTGCCTGGGCCTGGGCTGCCTGGCTGCCTCCCCTTACTCCATGCTGGGGAGACTGAAGCACAGAGATGGAGATCTCCTACTTGAGGTCCTCTGAGGCCAAACCTGGACCAATACAAACTTGTCTCCCTATGTGCTGGGGTCCGGGTGGGGGGTGGGGCTTCCCTCCCCATGATGGACTTCACGCCTGCAGTCAGGACTACAAAGGCCTGGTGGACAAGGTCCCTGGAGAAAGTCAGGGAGGGAGGCAGGGGCTGGGCAGAGGCCGAGCAGGGACGGGCACCACCTGTGCAAAGTCCCTGTGGCTGCCTGAGGGGCAGGTGTTCAGGGCTCTGGATTTTCTTCCATGACAGCACGGTGTGCGTGTGTGCCTGATGTCACCCCTGAGCTGTGGAAGCAACGAGCCACGAAGGCATCAGGGAAACAGTGCTCACAGGGATCAGAGGCAAAGGGCAGGCCGGCTCCTTAGGTGTGAAAGAGGTTCCTGGACTCTGAGCTGGCAGCCGGCTGGCCGGGCTTCAGCCCGGGCCCCTCTGGACCCAGACCTAGGTCTACCTGTGTGACAGAGAAGGCAGGCAGCGGGTGACTTCTCCTAACTCCATGGAGACCTCGGCCCTGGGCTCCATCATACCGGGGACGCAGGCCCGCTCACTAGCGTCCGCGGCGGTCAGTCTTTTCCACCACGCAGGGGAGGACGCCTGGAGCCGGACCAGACATTTCCGCGCCACCGGTTCTGACCCAGCCCAGCCCTCCTCTCTTCTGCAGCCTGGGCCAGGGTCAGGCCGGAAGCCCCTTGGGAACCCCCTGGAGCCGCGGGCGGGGCACTGAGGCCCAGGCACCGCTACTTAAGTGGCTGTGGGCTGACAGCGGGGACACAGGGACAGGATGGCGTGGGCCCTCAAGCTGCTGCTGGCCCTCTCCCC